TTTTTGGTATCGTTTAGAAGAATTGCATGCAGAAAAAATGTGTATATATATCGAAGGGACGTCAGAGATATTAAACTTGAACAAATACCTTACAGCGAGTGTGTGCGAATCGCATCATCCGTTTCTGATCCGTGTGTTATCCGAAAAATGAGATATCCAACTATTTTTATTTACTTTTTATAGATCTTAAATTCCTGTATTGATCCCGACAAGTGCAAGTCCAAATCCCGTATTCGACCTAGACGAATCCATGAAACCTATTTGCATAAACAAGCGCAGCCACACTTTTTGCTTTCTTTTTTCTATATAATTGATCGACATCTCGATAATCCAAATCCATCCAAACGGTATGAACACATTCTGTCCGGTCAAAAGATCCAAGTGATTTGTTTATTTACAGAATCCAAGTGGAATATTTCCAGCCAATTTATCCGTTTATCCATCATGAACACTAATTTTATATCCTGTCAGCATCCTAATCCAACAGACCATATCTCTGCCGAATCCTGTCTTTCTGTTTTATCTTTTTTTTTTTTCATCCCGGAAGATCCTCTACAACTAGGGAGAGCCAGGTTCTTGTGTTACAAGATGAAGTATTCGTTTCCAAACCAAATGTTAATATCCTCTTGCACCGCGCATCAAAGTCCCGAAGAACGAAGTGAAGTTCTTACGATACATATGTAGCACACATATAAAAATTGTACATATACACGGTGTCACGATTGATCGAAATGTACAATAAAAAAAGGTTGAAGTGATCGAGAGGAAGAGCAATCGGACGATTTTCGGTCACGAAGTAAAAGGCAAACCCGTGAAAACACACTATTTTTTTACAACGCGAATTTTCTCTTAGAGGACCACTTGTTCGTTCTCCACGATCCTGAGGAACGCTAATCACGGAGTTAGGTAGTTCAATATTGTACATCACCTATGCTAATGCTTGTATTACACAAATCGAACAAAAAAACGAGGAAGATTTCTCAACCGAGCCGATTTCCTTGCGTTGAACCAGTCACTAGTCTTATATGTATATTCTTTCCATGTGAGTACTCGCGAATTGTCGATCACTGAACGCCGACGGATGAGACGTATGATATAGTTCTGGTCAATAGAGTTTCTCTTTGACAACGAGAATCAAAATTATCATATCGATAATGATAAAAATAATTCTCGACTTGCATACGAAGCTATAAGCGAGTACTTTCATATAAAATAAAATGTTTGCAATGTTGACATTCCATTACTAGTTTGTTTGCTCTTTTTTTTTAATCGTACAGAACGTAAGAGAAAAATCGCGAAAGTCTTTCTCTCTCTCTTTCTCTCTCTTTCTCGCTTTATTTAGATTAAAATCGCGATTGTAATAAGACCGAAACACTGAAACGATTAAAAAATCTGTATACAACCACGTTACATGTCGAAGATGTTCATTTTACGTTTTTCAATTACGGCATTTTTTTATCGTTTAGTTCGTCAACGCAAAAACACTGCTATGTCACGATTAAATAATTTTTTTTTACGTTTGTTTAACGATTCAAAAGAAAAAAATATGGACAATCATTTTAAATCCTTGTAATGGATTTGCCAACGTTTTCTGATGAAAATCCAGCTAATTGAGAATCCTTGAATGAAACGGATTGTGTCTTTCATCCAATTCCTTTCCTGAATTCCTGATCCTGAATTTCCTCTTGAAAGTATCCTTAATGCCTCATTATTTTTGCATTCTCTTAATCCTTTTTTATAATATATGCTCCATACATAAATCCATCCAAAACGCATTCCATCTCATCCCACCGTCAAGCGAATGTGTATTATATCCATCCAAGAAGTAAGATCGTGTCGATTTCAGTTTTTCATTCATTGTGTTACAATCCAATCCAATATACAAAAGAAGAAAAAATACATTAGTCCCTTATACAGTATGCATTAATGTTATATATAAAATTTATCACTGCAAATGTAATCCCTGTGACTTATAGTATTTGAATATTGTATCATATAAATTGAGCAAATACTATACAAAACAAATTTATATCTAAAATAACATAAGGAAAGAGAAATCACAGGATCGATTTGCAATAATAATGTTCTCAAGAATACACGAAATCATTGTTTTCCTTCAACATCTTTAATTTATAACTGAGAATCGTTTAGGCATGTATTGCAAAATTTTAAAAATTCGTTTGTATAATTTTTAAAAGGAAAACGTTAAACGAGAAATGTGTAATAAGCAAATTTATAAATGATTCATTTTATCTATATAAACACATTTCTCAAGATATGTCGTGTACAAAATTAAATATTTCACAAACATCCAAATAATTATACCAAACATATTGTTACATTCTTAATAATAATTTCAATATGAATTAATTGTTTTCTTTTTCACTTTAAAGTGATACAACATACAGTTCTTTTTATCAAATCAAGAAAATGGCCCAATAATCGTCGTTAAAAAACACTCAAGTACATGACATTTTAAGTTAATTATTATACTGAATGAAAAATGTCAGTACATAATAAATGATAGTTATATCAGCTTTCTCCAAAGAAAATTGGTCATATTAATATTAATATATTAGTAAAAAGTAAATCTTTTACCTATATTTATCAAATATTATGTCCTATATGCATGTATTATCCATTGATGAATACCACTGTACAATTACATTGTCTATGTATTAAATGTTATTTTTTGTATTGTCATCATTAGATACCAAAATAAACATACTTAAATTTATGTAATAACTTAAATGACGATGAGCCGTGTAAACAACCTTGACATCCATAATTGTTTTTAAGAATTTGTAGACTTTAATATATTTTATTAAATTAATTAAAAAAAACAACGAAATTTACCAAATTTATCAAAATTTATAGAATGATAAATATCAAATGAAATTATGTGCAGTGAAAAAAACAATTTTTAAATTTTTATAAGAAATAATTATAGTGAAAAACCTTTTGATTAAATATATAATACAGCATTCATTGTGTAATATACTGCATTTTAACTTGCATATTATATATATGCGCATAAAAATATACATTTTCCTCATTATCTATTACTTATCACTTTAATGCACAATAATTTTGAGCTGTTAACAAGAAAAATGCTAGCTTCATGAACTTATATGATAAGCATTAGAAGCTTAAAAAAATGTCATGTTATGTACGCTATAAAATGTGCTGTACTCATCACTGCAAATGTGAATAAATCAACATGAAAAAAAAAAATCACATCAAAAGTATTACAGTATAGCTACCAATGGTAATATCGTATAGAGCAATGTGAATGATCATGTATTAAAACAGCAAAATAAAACATTCACATTGAATATAGATTGGTAGTTATACAATAAATACTATTCATCAATGTGAATATTAATTAAATAAATAAAATAATATTAGTTTTTAGACTCTCATTTGCAATACTTCAAAATTATTACATATTTTCAATATAACTTTAGTGTCAAATCAAATTGCAAAATATAAAGGAATGTATTTTTAAACACATCAATAATTCAAATAGGTGTATCTTTAACAGTAATAGTAATAGTAATACAATTAATATGAGCGCGATTCCTCTTTACCAAAACAAAAAATTAAGATAAAACCTGATATCAATATTTACCACTGAACAATCTAACTGCTCTTCCAGATTTATATAAGTTAAAAATATCTGAATCGATATCAAAATCTTTGAAAAAACAATTTAGTACATGTAAAATGAACCGTGCTCTAGTTACATTAGGTACGATACAATTATTAAATTCAAGCAACATAGAAATAATTTTATAATTTGTATAAAATTCGTTTGGATTGGAAGGTGTTTTTAAGTGAAATTCAAATCAGTAATAATGAAACATGGTAAAGCAAATATTGACAGACAAGCCTTTACTTATATTACCATGTAAAACATATACGTACACACTAGTCGTATGAACGAGATCTGGAGCGAGATCTTGATCGCGAGTAATTACGTCGCAATGGTGAATAGGTAGGTGAACCACGACGTCGTGGACTATAGCTTCGTGAATGACTCCGACCTCTCTCTCTATCTTCACTGCGTCCTCTATCGCCACTGCTATGATCTTCTTTCACTCGAATATAAGCTACTTCACCCTACAGACAAAAATAAAGTCATACGAAAAATATTAAGAATAATGGAATAATATGTATATACAGTTCTTTTATACAAATCTGTTTTATACCTCATGAGACCTAAATCTTGAATCGTCTAACTTCTTCACAGCATATTTCATATCTTCATATCGTAAGAATTCAACAACTCCAGTACCATCTTTATAAACATCAGCAAAGCATACATCACCAGCTTCGCGCATGTGATCCTTTAAATCTTGCCAACTACCAGATGGAGGTAAACCAGTAACAAGAACTCTATATTGAGATCTTCTTGCAGGCGGCCCACGTCCTCTAGAGTTACTCATTTCACCTCTACCGCCTCTTCCACTATCTCCTGCTCCACGACCACCACGGAAATTATTACTAGGACCACCACCCCTAGGAAACTCAACACGTAGTCTATAACCATCATAATCATATCCATCTCTCGCATGAACTGCATCTTCAGCATCTCTGAAAATGATTAATTATAGTGCCACTTCTTGTGTAATTTTTATGTAACATTAAGATGTCAAAATTAAATCTTAATGTCATAAATAATATATTACTTAATATAAAATAACTTTAACGTGATTAAATTATAAGCTTGGAATTCCATACAAAGATGTTTTCTTTTTTATTTAGTGAGATAAAAGTATTATGGAACAAGAGTTAAAAATTATGGAGTAGCTATTATATATTACATTTAAAATATAAAAAATTTTTCATAGAATTATGAATTATAAAATATACCTTGGATCGTCAAATTCGACGAAAGCAAACGGTGGTCCTCTGCGATTTTTTAAATCAACAAAAATAACTTTACCGAACTTGTAGAAAAGATCTTGAATGTCCTTCGTTCTTATATCAGGGGGCAAATTTCCCACATAAATTCTACATTCATTTCTACCATGAGACATATTCACAGCTTTTATTACAATTTATTGTATACAGGATACAAATAAAAATTACTTTAAAAAAATTTCTAGTCGTCTCTTAAGTCTTACACTCTCTTTATTGATGAAATAAACAAGATGGTGGTACCAGTCTGAGAGAAGCGTGAACACGAAATACAGAAAACCAAGAACATTAAGGAAACCTGAACCACAGATGAGGTACATGAATAGATCAAGCATCTTACGGGATTTTGTAGTCTGTGATCTGAAATATCGACATAGTAAAAAATTACTGGTTTTTTAGCGCATTCCACGTTTAAACAACGGTGAGTTGGAAAACTACGTTAAGTCAAACCACAGACGAGGCATATGAATAGATTATGACCTCGTCTGTGGTGACATGAAAATGAAAAGAAATTCGTAAGCTTGGAAATCGTAAAACAAAAAAATACATTATATGCCAGGTCTATTCTGTACCTCGTCTGTGCTTGAACGAAGTTATCGAGCATTTTTATATAGTTAACAATCAATTGTGTATCATATTTTATATATTATCCGCTTCTTTCCACTAATCAATAATCCATTTTTCGAAAATGCTACTCTCTTCGATTATTTCGAACATATAAAATTAATTACAATTGATTAAATTATTTCTTAATAAAATATTGGCCAATTCCTCAATGTCTACATGGAAATCGTATTTTATATACATTTTATATAATATCTCTTTTACTCTTATTTCTTAAGTAAATAAATTATATTTTAGTTTTTTAGTTCAATAATTATAAATATATAAATAGTTATGCTTTTTTTTATATGGAATAATCGAGATTCTATAATCAATTAAATGATTAAATAAATGAATCTTATTTAAATATTTCAGTGTCTTAAATATTTTATTTGAATATCTGATTCATTTTATTACTTCAACTTTGTAAGTCGAAATATTTGAAATGCAAATGAATAAAATCTAAAATCATATAATATATAATGATAAATAGATAGTACTCTCTATATATATCACACCTGTTAAATTTTGTTTACGTTTTCTTCCCTAACCTTCAAAATGTACAAAAACAATTAGTATTATATATTTGTAAATATTAGAACAATGAAGTAGAATAGCACAGTTTGTACTTTATAATTTTATCTTTCTAATTAATTAATCACAGCTGGAATAATGTATGAATAGGCATACATAGACTTATAATAATGGCATTTTCATTTCGTATTGGTACCAAATGGTGTCATGATTTTCCAAAATTGGCAAAAGAATCTGGATTTTATTTCAATATGCATAGATCCAGAGTACGTGTAGATTGGAATCGTATAAGTATGTATAAGTAGTATAATAAATGCATTTGATACCATTATAATTTATAAACAAATATGATGTATTTAATATTCTCTCTTATTCTAGGTAATATAGACATAGATCGAATTATAAGAGAAAGAGATTTCCATTCTATTGATGATAATATAATTAATGTAATAGATTATTGTTTAGAAAGTGAATATGATGTTAAAATTTTGGATCCTAATTTTGTAAAACTCTTCTGCCTTGCACAGTTAGCAGTTGAATATTTATTATATTGTAAACAATATTTAGATCACAGTGTAATGATACTAAAAGAAGAGCTAAAATCAAAAATTGAAGAAAATGTTAAATTGAAGAAAGAAATAACTACTTTAGAAGAAGTTATAAAACATATGAAAGAGAAAGCAAAAGAGAGAAGTAGATTAATAGAAACTAAAATTGGAGACTCTAATGGTGAAATTTACAAAGTAATGAAATTATGAATATTGATTGTTTCTGTTATAATTAAATACATTTCTATTACGATAAAAATATTATTTTTAGTTATGCAAAAGCTAGTTATTAAGCTAATATTTTTGTTTTTCAGTGCCCACATTGCCCAAAATCTTTTATAACTCCCATGTTTGTAAGTGCACACATTATACGTCGTCATGCGTACGTATCAGATTTATACATGCCTGCTTCTCCTGTACATGAACACTATCGCAGTGAAACTGAAAAATTACATAATGAAATAAAAAATTTAAAAGAAAGACTGAATGAAACAGAGAAAGTAATTAAAAATGAGTCTGAAAGATTTCCTGAGAAAAAATTATTAAGTTATGACAAAAGACAAGCT